GCTAGCTCATGCACGCACAGGGTCTCAAGCATCTCAAGCGTCAAGTCTGCGTCCTTGGAAGGTAGGGCGCCATCGTTGACAGACTACGCCTTCCACCACGACCTTGGACGATGAACCTACAGGACCAACAAAATCGGAGTCGTAGGGTGCCAGCCCAATCTGAAAGAATGAGTGTTGCAAGACCCATCAGGTATCCAATCAAAACAGCGGCTGACAATACCAAGCAAGAAGAAGAACTTCGGAAAGCAATTGGTTCTGGATGCAACACAAGGAGGGTGGATGGGCCTAGTATAGGCCTGTGAGGAATGCTCCAAGCGGCTGAGTCTCCCGGTTGGGCGACACCAACCAAGTCCCCAAACACAGTCACTGCACATGACTGTGGCACAACCCCAACACCCATAGCTTGCCTCAGATCTCATTGAAACCAAGCAGATTCCAAAGCAAAGGGATGTTTAGTCTGTTCCAAGCATCCAGGCGTTCGCTTGGCAGCGGCCCAAATAGGTTGCTTAGCAGTAGGTCAGTAGGTGTGTTCTAGTCCTAACCACAAGATTAGCAAGTAATTTGATGTAATTGGGGTGGCCAGGTATTTTTAATGTCCAACCAAGACCTTGCCAGCAGCTTCAAGACTCTTTAAGCTGAAAAAACAAACTGAAAGAAACTGTTTGGCGAATACATGTTGCATATCATCTTGCACTCGAATTTCTTGAAAATCGGCCATGCATTGCTCATTCGCGGGCACCGTGGCGAACTGCTTGGAGTGGCAGCGTGAGGTCTTGGGACGCTTGGCTTTGGGGTCCCATCCTCAGATTTGCACAATCCACATTAGGGGCTCCTGGCAAGAAGCTACTAGGGGCCTTACTACTAGGAGCAAGAAGCTACTGGGGGCTCTTGGCCTTACTAGTCGCAACAAGAAGCTATTAGAAACAAGTGCCTCACAACAAGGAGCAAGAAGCCACGAGTCTCCTCTTCTCAGGTGGATTGAGAATGGTAATTTTGATCATGGGATCCCCCCAGTCCAACCAGGCGGCAGCTCTTGATCGGCACTTGCAATCATTGACAGTCTAAACTTATTAACTGCACTATGTATCTTGGGTTGCTTTATTGACACTGGCCCAAAAATGCTTAAACTGAAAAGACACACGCTTCTAGCATCCTTCGTGCAGTGGAAACCGTCACGTTGAATGCCACAAAGGATGCAAAATCCCATTTCTGCTGCCAACAACTATTCAAAGCAAACTGTTTGTTTCAGCTTCTCGAGGGAGAAATGTCAGATCCAAGCATTCCAAGCATCTAGTTTGCTTCTGTCCACCTGGGCATTCCCTGGGGACCTCGAACTCGTAGCCACACGTTGGTGAAGCCCGGCAACTGAAGGTGTGACCGCAGGTCCTGAAGGTGCAAAAGTTGGGAAGTAGTGGGGGCTCTGAGCTTTGGATCACCCCTTGCGCCATGCTTAGAATTCAGTGAATTGTGCCTTTATCATGGCGGAAAAGCCTCCGAGGAAGAGAGTGTTGGAATGCGTCGTCCAGCATTCAGTGTAAACACGTTTGTTGTTTGTTTATGAAACAGCGAGGTTTGTTGCTAGGGCGGGAACGTTTAAATTGAACGCTGCTGCATTGCTGCGGGGCCCACACAAAAGAATTGCAAATAAGAGTGCGAGCTAATAAGTGAACAGTGCGAATTTGAATTGAAAGTCTGATAATATATACTCCTAGAAAATGATGTCCTTACATTCGATTACCTTGGCACAAGCCCTCCGGAAAGTCTGCAACATATTTCGTGCGAGCTCAAACGTGAGGAGTGCTTGCTACTTTCACCTACTTTCTGTAGGAATAAATGACATCATGGCAAGCTGACCGCAGCCATGTGGCTCACAGCGGAAAGCGCGCCACTCCTGCACCACCTCGACATGTGAGTTGCTGTCTTCATGTTGTCATCGGCTGTGGTGTCATAATCGGCCTTGTTCTATAAACCATTGCAACATTGGAGCCTCCAGTTCTGGAGCATCCCTTTTCAACCATGACTATTCAACCTTTAGACTCCTTTGGGTCTCTCTCTTTGTATCTATTTGTATGATTGTGTATGTTTACGATTAGCAATGTACATCCACTCAGTCATACCGAAGCCAAGGCTTCCCCTGCCTTCACCGGCCCGGCACGGGTTACTGTCCCCGCGATGCGCACGAAGTGCCCCCGGTCTCTCACCCGGAGGGTGGACACAGAGGGCCGCTCGAAGCTACGCCCGGGCCTCGGACCCCGCTTGCTTCACACATCAAGTCGAAAAGTACATGTGGGACGGCAGACTCGCTTTCTTTGGTCATAAAGCATCACCAAGCAATTTTGATATATTGGATGGATACTAGTCTGTCTATATAATCGGACAACAAATCCGTGCAGGAGTTTCGGAACTACCTGCTGATTCAGCTTTTCCCTTTTTAGCCCGCCCTCAATTAAGTAGGCGCTTACTTAATTAAGCAAGAGCTAAACAAACTACTAGCTACTGGACGCAGAATAGTTCACACTCGCACTAATCATTTGGTGCCGTGATCTTTCGGAATAAAAACAGAAAACTATGCTTTCTCCTGCAATTGCTTTCCGAGACGCACATGCACCAGTCGCACGCGTAAAGTTCCGCTGAAGTCTTCTCCCAGTCCCAGTGAAGCGGCGGCTTGGGAGGCGGCTTCCTGCCAACACGCTAAGTATTGTTCAAGGGCGTTGAAGGGTTCGGACATGTCTCGTTTACAGTCATGTTGCTTACGTTGCGCATGTGTACAAGCTTTTGTACAAGCCTGCAAGAATGGATCAATACTGTGCTCAAGCTGCAGCTCTGGGCCCGACCATACCAACCTAAAACTCTCGAACAGCTGCAGCAGCACGTCAGCAACAAAGGAGTGGGCCATGTCAAATACCAAATCAATTTAGCACCACATCAATTTATCACTCCACAATTTCACTTTCTAGTAGTCTCCACCATCTTTGCTTCTGGGCTTGAACCATGGCTTACTTGCTGGCTTTTTGAACCAAACAGAGCGTTCCTATGTGTTCGTTGTATATCGTCAATGCAGTTCTTGAGATGTGACAAGGGTTCAAAACGCTGCTCAGCCTGCCTTCAATGCTCCGATGATGCATTGCCATCCTCTGAAGAGAAGAGTAGCTGATCCTCAACTCGAACGTCAGCACCAGTCATCATCTTTCGGATGCAAAAGTGAGTACAAGTTTGAACAAGCACTCTACCAAAGATAGTCAACATGACAGATTGTCAACACCTTCACAAACTGGTAGATTGCGTCTTACGTGTAAATGGTATCTTCTGAAAATAAAAAACTTGTTGTGCCTGTCCAAGAGATCCAGGAACCTTGTCGAATAAGTCCATGGCGTTCACCACAAGCTCCTTCGGCAAGGTGAGTAGGCCGAAACCACGCCCTAAGATGTCCTTCGGTTCTTATAGGTGTTTTCAACGGTGACATCAATGGATCTTTCAAACTTCTCCCTTGCTAGTCTCCTTTTTTGCAGCTCTGCCATCTTCCGGTCCAGCACCATTCTTGCAATCCGTGAGTTGATGCGCCAGCTCCCCAGTCAGGAAGAAGCGCAAAATGTTAACAAATATTTGCCTGAGGAAGGGGGCTGACTTTGCACATCGAGCCAGGGCACTCTGCCTCCCAACTACGCCTGTGAATAGCTGCCTAAATTGTCAACACATTGTTTGTCAAATTTGTCAACACGTTCAAACACCACTGTCAAATTCGCCCGCACTGAAGGTGCTGGGGCATGTGTATATATCCGGATGGCGTAGTCAATCGCAAGATTTCAGTTTTTGCGGGGGGGGCGCTCTTTTCCGGGCAAGAAACCTGAGTTTTTGAAGGTTGTTGAACATCGAGTGCCAAACAACTTTGTACATAACGGCACTTGATGAAGGATTTGACTGAGACGGGCAAGTGTTTTTTGAGGCGTTCTTGAAAAAAATCGAAAAACAAAAATGTTGGTGCTTTTGGGGGGCTAGGGATTCGTATTAGCCAGGTAGAACCGGGATGATGGGAATCTATGTATTTTAGTATAAATTATAGCACTCAGAACATCTTTTGAAAAGCAATGAAAAGCAGGACACTGCTGACACCACGCTTGCGACGTCAAGGACAACAACTACTACTACGACGACGACGGCGGCTGCTGCTGCAACCACGATTGAATCTAGCCACTACCAGTGCTTGCAACGATAGAATACTACTGCCCATACCACAAATACCGCAACATTACCACAAACATCCACAAACATTTTCCCTGTCGCGGGCGGACCCAGCCGCGTACTGTAGCGGCGCGAATATTGCTGTGGATTCTTGGAACAAAGCGACTGTTCGAAGGCAGCAGTGTCCGTCTTCTCCAGATGCAGATCACCGGCAGCCACAGTAAGCATGAAAACCACAAGAGTCAAAAGAATGCAATGAAGATGTGAGTGGACTGGGTTTGGGTACTGATCCTGAAAGCGCGTGTCTAAGATATCTGGACAGCCCTTCTTCTGCATCAACCACTCCGAGTCACTGCTCTTCTGGATCAGGCTGTGATTGGCCAATGTTCGATGCCCGACCGGTCGAAGGATCCACCATGAACGGTAAAAACAAATGTCTTGAACTAAGGAAGACTAGAGTGACTTAGTGACTACTAGTGACTAGAGTGATTGGAGTCTTTGCTTGTTCGATGTGGCTCTTTGTCATTCCAAAAGTCTCCGTTCATCTGAATCTTTCAAGTCGGTCCTCTACCAGCATGATTTCATGCTAATCCATTCTGGCCACTTTTCTTGAGGCCGAAAGTATGGATGCTTAAGCTGCAAAGGGGAAAGCTTTCAACATACAAGAGTTCGTGGGGCAAAGCTTTCAACATAGAAGGGCTCGTGGTCTACTTAAGGAATTGCAATGTTCAAAGCACACTGGACTATTGAGAGCACTAGGTTACAAACATGATTGACGAGCACATGACAACGGACTCCGCTGTTGCAAGTCGTGGGGGCACTTCAATGGAATGCCAATGCCTTTGGCGTAGTTCTGCAATTGCGACCTTGGCTTGGGATTTGGATGCATTGGTCATCGCCAGGGCATTCATAGTCATAAGTCATAACAATGCTCAGCTGGGGACTTTACATGAACATCCGATTTCATGAATGGGAGCTGAAGAACCCCAGATGACTCTTCATTGCCATCATACTTTTGCGATACCTATACTGACCATGTGTCTAGCTTTCAGATGACTTCCGAACTTCTCCGATCAACTAATCACTCAACCAACTCTGCCCAAACTCTTAGTCAACTCTGCTTGTTGAGCACTCTCACAAGCCCAGGGGAATATAACAACTCTGAACTCCCCACATTTCCCGACATGTCCTTTTGCGAAGGAAGTATGACAGTGTAAGCGATCCCGTGCGGTTCCAGGGTGGTGCGACAGCTCCTTTTTCCCGTGTGGCACGCACAGGCACAGATGAAAGGCTTTGCGTTACCTACATCCCTGAGAGGCATCTAACCTTGGTAACGAGTCAAGGGCTTCCTACAAGAGCTACTCTGTCGAATTGAGGACATGCAATCAAATCCCTAGCGCTGTTTTTGCAATTGCAGAACACTGGCATGGGATCGCAGACTCTCAGGGCGGGTCAGCCTTAACCGTCTAAGCCTCCTTGAGGGGATCTAATATACAAGAGTGTCCTCTTGGCTCCACATGTTTCCGGTTGTTGATCTTTCCAGAGGTTTGGCAGACAAACGGGAACCTGCAGTCGGATGATACACTTCAAAAAGAGGCAACACGTAGAATGCTAGTGTACTTCTCTAGGTCACAACGGTCACTTCACCTGCAGCCCTGTGGTGGTTCACTGAATGCTTCAAACCCTGTGGAATGTTGGGCCAACAAACAAATTCTGGTGTTCGTCAGGATTGGAAGCGTTTGGAAAGGCTGGCAGAAAGAGGACGTTTAAACAACAACCCCACACGAGAAGGCTGGATCTGTAATGACCCTGTATGGGGCATGGGATCCTGCCACCCCTCACCTGGCGCGGTCGCTTCGTTCGAAGCCTATTGGAAAACCACGGCAGTGTGATTACTGGAAAAAAAGGCATCGATTTGATCCCAGGCCAGGCAGACCCCACGGTTACGGTTTTGCATCTTTGCAGGCTCGACCAAGCATTGCAATATTTTCCAACACCTGTTCTGGTGGGGGCTGCCTTCAAAAACGCCAAAGGCATGCCAGATGACGCACCACTGACCATGCGCAGCTCGATTCCATTTTGACTTGTCATACGCTGTTTGAAAAACATCTGCAGTTCAAATATTTCGAAAGTCACCTTCCATTGACCAAATAGCCACAACCTTAACAGTCAAAAACTTAAGAAATCATGTCAAAGGGAGAGCGGCAAAGATTCAACGCAATGAACAATGGCAACGAATAGCAATGAAATGCTGTGGCAAACTCCTGACCAAGCTGTTTAGCAAATCATTGAAAGAGGGTTGCGTGAGCAAGGGAAGATCGGTTGCTCCGTTGACCTGAACAACTCATAGGGCCATAGGGAATACGGAGACAGAGTGAACTTGCACCCTTCTACACCTGCTTACATTTTGCAATCATTGTACAAGAGTCGACACTACGCGGACTTGAGCAAGGGAAGGTGCTCGGGCTCTCACGCCAAAAAGTCAATGGGGCAGCCGTGAACAGAAGAGGTTCTGGTATCGGCTTGGTCACTGAAAGAATCGTTGAGTCACATCCCAGCCGTACCGAACGCCACTTCATTGGTCTCAGCCGCGCAAATTTCTGGTCCAATAAATCTGAATGCCATGGCCTCGAAATAAGAGCACTTGAAGCCATTGAGCTTCAGCTGAAGGGGCGAGCTATAGTACTGTGATGTTTGTGTTTGATTTGTGCTTTCTACGTGGAAAGTCGCCCGGATCTATGATGTTTCAAGTGGAGAAAGACAGACCAACTGCCGACCCTTCGACGTGCTGAGTGGTTCCAGGCCACTATAGCTCCTCGTGAACGGGAGTGACAGTAGCGGCCCAGGGACAAACACCCAGACATGATACGCCAACTATGCCGACACCATTCGATGGTTCAAAAATTCCCGCCGCTCACACAGGCCCTTGCTGGAAAGCATCCAAAGCAAAGTGTCAGGCGCCTTTGGGGCACTTACCTGTGCATTTGATGATCAATGCCAAGGCGGACATACTTGGATTGCACAATGGGCCCACTTGCAAGCACTTGGCTGCGTCCACTCATTCAATCTTGGCATGTTTGCATTGCACATTTTTTCTACACAGGTACACCGGGATCAAAAGCGTGGAAATCTCTGGTGGGAACCTCTAAAGCATCAAGGCCCTATCTGAGACGAAATGAGAAACAAGCATCCGAACGGACTGATTGCTACAGATTGATGGCCTGTCAAAATGCTGCCTGTTAGACAAGTTGTAGGAACTGTTGCAATGTGTACATGAAGTTTTCAAGCGCCCCAAAGACCAGGAAAAGGCACAGTCTTTGCACACTTTTCAATGACATTGGCATTGAACCTCCAACCGCCCACCACCCGACAAGCTTTGAGCTCTCGTGTGGCAAGGTGACCCTTCAAAAGAAGGTTTGCAAAGGTGTAAAGTGCTTCTGTCCGACACTTCTATCCATACGACATGCAAACTTGATAACACAAACATGCACAATCACTTGTGATGGGCTGCCTCATTATTGAAACAAACCCATGGCCCATAACACGTAAATACTTGATGTACACCCCTGCTGTAACTCAAAAAATACTATATAATCTCAATGGTTCGAATACAAAAATCCTCTAAATGTGTTCCTTGCTCAACCTTCGTGAGAAAAGATTGTGCAAAGCCCAAAAAGTGTGTGCCCTTGTGATATTGTGCAAACCACATGTTGGAAGCCATTCCCTCTCAGGGTCACCACGGGCAGCTAGGCTCCGGCTCCGCCGAGAGCCTCAGAACATGGACAGCGCTTTGCCAACGGCAGGGCCTTCGTCGAGCCACGGATGTTCCAGAGCCTCTTCAGCACTGGGTCTCCTCGGCGAACGAGCGACATCCATGTCGAGCAACCCTCACGAGCTAGCGAAAGCACATCCATGTCTTGCCCACGCAGTTGGCATTCCGCAAAGTCGAAGAAAACACCAGTTGGCCCATCAGCAGTGCCAAGTCGCTGCTCAGGGTCAAAGTTCATAAGTTGTTTACCTTGGCCAAACTACACATCTGGCCCTTGAAATAGGGAGACTGGCTGTTCCAACCTACAAAGCGTCAATGGCCAATGCAGAACGTATAGAACCACTCAAATTGTCTTTCTTGCTTGGCCCACATGAAAAATGGGAATCAAGCCCATCCCCATCCGACAAGCATACCATCACGGAATTCACCTAGATTGGATTCAAGACCTTTTCAAATGTCTTGAAGTTGGCCCTGCTCAAGGCCTAGAAAATTATTTTAGAGAAGTAACCAAATGCTTCTCATGTGTCTAAAAATACAAGCCTTGGAGACATCCTGAAATTGAAACCCAACTGTGTCATGAATGAAAAGCTCAGCTGCGCTGTCCAAATCAACCACGTCCGAGCTGCAAAAGTCACACCCCATCGCCTTGTCTTTGAAGTCTGAGTCCCAGTTCAACGCCGACTGGGGCACAAGGGCGGGCACAAACCAAGCTGGAATGCTGAATGTTTGTGGTCTGGCCCTTCGGAGACATCGTCTTTGGATGAGGTAAAGAAGAAAACAATCCTCTTTTGGGTTATATACTACTAACTACTAGCAATGGCCTCCAACCTACTAGCAATGGTCTCCAACTCCAACCTACTAGCGATGGCCTATCTTCTTTTTCCTAGTCCGAGATACTCGAAGTTCCTATTCATGGGCATGCTACTCCTCAGCTTCATGATGTCTGAGACATTTTGACACATTCAACACCACCCCTACAGGAACACCTGCTAGGCTGCTAGGAACAAGCAAAGAGTCATGCCTAGGAAAAGTTCTCTACGGTTCCAAGAAGCAAGAATCGACGGGCCTTACTTGGATGAAAGGTCATGAAACTTTGCCAACCAGTTTGTGATGACCCCAAGTCCATCCAAATCCCGTGTCTCGCCTTACGGACTTTGTCTGCGATCTCATGCATCTTGGGAGAGCCGACCTGAAGGAAGTTGGAACCGTTTCGACTTAAGAGAGGCAAACGGAGGGTTCTGGAGACCCTCTGCGTCAACCATACTAAAGTATACAACTCGTACTTTCTGACTCCGTGTTGCCAAGCTGTATCACCAAGGACTGCTAGAATGACCTGCTAAGCTTCTGTTGAATTTGGAATCGTGACGGAAGTTTGCAAGCTTGTTCTGCAAATTACGTAAAGCCCAACGTGGGTGTCCTTCTTTGTTTCCCTGGGCACGCCAAGCATTCAGATAAGTTGTTAGAATATGTTAAAACAAGAAAGGCTAACAACCCCTTGCAAAATGCATATAAAGCAATCCAAGATTGGGCAACCTAGGTGGCAAAGAACGAAACAAAACATTACAGCAATCGACTATTTGCAAAGGTGAACAGTCTTTCCGTTCGCTTCTTTTTGCCCAGGCCCTCGTCCAGGCAAACCATCAGAGTCGGAGGTTTCAGATTGATCACAGCCAATCAATACAGCAGTCTGGATTGATCTTCTGAGAATGAAGCGTAGTTCTCTCCAGGCTTGTCATCGAAGACCTTGTGCCTGAGGATCCGGCTTGAATTTGGCTACTGCCTTCGAGCTGTCCAGAAAGCACATTCCAATCCGGCTTTTTGAGTGACCCTGTGAAGGGGTAAGCAGATTCTTCAGCGACGCAGCAGATGCAGAAATACTCTGATAACTCTAACCGAAGAAGTGAAGCAGTTGTTCAAATCCTTGCAGCATGGGATGGTTTTGTGATATATGAAAAGGACTGCATCGAATTTGGGGGTTCTCAGGCACTGACACAACCAATACTCCTAATCTTCCCCGGGGGTGTTCAGCGACCCTACACATGAACCCTGCACATGAACCTCTGATCAAACAGACTTGGTGAAATGAAAGGACCTGAC